CCAGCTCAGAGTCACCTCAAGGGCTTGGTCAGGGGCGGGTGGCTACGTCTCCCCGGTCCCCAGCCTGACTTGTGAGGATACTCCTGAGTGTGGCCTCTCTCAGGCTGCCGGCCGGGGGGCCAGGGGGGCATTGGGCAGCCTGCTTCTTCCTCTCGCAGCCATCCCAAGGGGACGGCCACACAGGAGGCCAAGGGGACCCCTGAACACCCCCGAAGGGCTGGTTTACACCACTTGCTGGGAAGGAAAGGCACGTGGAGAAGGTTGGGCATGGAGGGCCCTTCTCGCTGACCCCACGAGTGAGGCGGAGAGGACCCCATTCCTCCCTAGAGTCTCCCCCGCCCAACAGGACATCTGTGTCACAAGCAGGGTGAGAGCCGGAGGGGCCCACGTGTCCCCGACAGGAGAGGGGACACAGAGGGAGGGGGCCAGGGGTTCTGGGGACAGGATAGAGCCCGGGGCCGCGCCGAGCTCCCGGTAAGAGGAAGGTGAGGGCAGGATGCTGGGGTTCCGCGGCGCAGGCTGGGCAAACGGCACCCCCATCCGTGGTCTAACAGGCCCTTTGGCAGCGTTGCCATAAAATCTGGACCCAGCGGGCGGGGGAGGAGAGGAGGTGGGGCGGGGGGTGCCGTGGCGGCAGCACTGAGTGAGCGTCCGGCAGGGGCCCACGCGGGGCCCAAGGTCCTGGGGCCGGGACAGGGGCGTCTCCTGGAGGCCTTCATCCGAGTCACAGCTACCCGCTGGCTGTCTCCTGGCCCTTCCCAGCCTGGGGACATTTGTGGCCACACTGACCACGCGTCTCCCGTCTTGTCACAGCCTCCTGTCTGCTCACAGGGACATGGGTGGCTGCGACCTGCCCCTCTGCCCTGGGCTTCGACGCGCCAGCCTGCGGCCCCGGGCCTGTCGGGGGCCATCCCTGCCCACAGCCCCGCTGCCTGTGGGCCCCTCCGTCGGCGCCCTCCTGCCTGCTGAGTCCCCTGCCCGTCCCTCCTCCCTGGGCCCCGGGCGCCTCTGCCAGCCTTGCAGCCGTGCCTGCCCAGCGCCTGTGCTCGCCAGCGCCGGCCCTCGGGCTCCCCGGGCTTCCTGCGAAACGGGCCGCACCCCAGCCGCCTGTCCGGGGGCCCCCAGGGTCCTGGGCCGTTTCCGGAGAAGGACCCTCAGGCGCCTCCCCCTGGCTTCAGGCCAGGGCTGGGCAAGGAGGCTGGAAGCCCCACCGTCCGTGCGCAGATGGCGGCCTCGGGCCCCGTTTCAGTCCCAGGCTGGCGTCCCTGCCCCGGCGCCTCCCAGGACGGCCCTGGCCAGTCCCTGCGGTGCTGGGCTGGAAGGGCCAGGCCTCTGCAGCAGGAAGGGGCATAGCGTCCCCTCAGCGGCTATAGCGAACAGCACGAGGCCGCGGCTCCGTGCCGCGCAGCAAGCTGCCCGTCGCCAGATGCCCGGCAGTCTGGCTTTCCTGGGGAGGCCCCCGGGCCGGGACCTCAGCGCCTCCGTCAGCGCCCCCCGGGAATGGAGGTGGCGTCTGCCCTCTGAGCCCTTTCTCGGTCGCCGAGTATTAGAAAACAGGCACGGGCCGCGTTGCTCTTTTAGACGTGTTTATCCTCCCGTCAAGAGGCGGCACAGACCCTCCTACCTGCGGAGATTTAAAAGACACTCCAGAGAACCCTCGGGTCAGAGAAGCGTCCTAAGGGAGAGTATGAGCCACTGAGGACCAACCACGGGAAGACGGCGCCTGCCGATTCTGCGGGGATAGATGGGGAAAGCGTCCGCAGGCGGATAACCCGGCCGCCCAGCATGCGACGTCCCCGCGAGGGGGTGAGACAGCCGAGAGCAGAGGAGGCCCTAAGAAAGCGTAAAGGACAGAATAAAAAGACAAGGTAACCGAAAGAGTACAGTAAAGGGTGATTCAGAGTAAGTGAAAGAGGGGCGCCTGGGGGGCTCCGTTGGTTAAGCGTCTGACTTCAGCTCAGGGTCATGATCTCACGGTTCATGGGTTCAAGCCCCGCACCGGGCTCCGTGCTGACATCGGGGAGCCTGCTTGGGATTCTCTCTCTCCTCTCTCTCTGCCCCTCCCCTGCTCTCAAAAATAAATAAAAACTTTAAAAAGAGATAGAGAGCTTGAACAGATGCGTAATCACTGAAGAATTTCATGTGGGCCGTTGAAAATCGACTCAGACGTAAAGTACAAATTAAAACACCAGCCTTGCGTGGTTTCTCGGGAGATTCACACTAAATCTCGCAGGGCCACACAGTTCCCACTGGACATGCCCTTCCAGGGAATAGAAGATGGAGGAAAGATCCGTAACGAGTTTTGTAAGATGACTATAACCTGGAGTACACACAGAATAAAGGAGATTTCCAGGCCAAATTCAGTTACGAACATTGATTAAAAAACCAATATAAAACATCATAATCTGATGCCCACAGTGTATTTTAAAAATTGCAATAAAACCGACGAGCGCCTCAACCAGGATGGCTTAACACCTGAAAAATCTACCACACTTTACCACAGGAACCGAGTGGAGACAGACGAGCCACCTCGTAATCTACAGATAAGCAAAACGCATGGGATTCTCTTCGTTGAGAAATTCAACCACCGTTTGTGATAAAACTCTTACCAAACTTGGGCCCGGGGGACTCGGTCCGTTCGATAACAGGGAACCTCGCCAGCAGTCGTGACCATTGCTGTCGTGGCGCGGGCTCCTTGGGAGCCTCCCGGGTGCCTCTGAAACCGGCCCCCACGTGCGGAGGGCAGGGGAGACGGAAGAAAGAGGCCACTCCAGCTGGGGGCAGGGTTCGTAAGCAACAGGCCTTACCTACAGGACTCGTTCCGGGCCGCGGCCCCGCACCTGCACCCGCCGCCTGAGCTTAAAGGTTGATGTGGGGAGAGGCCCTACCTGGGCCCAGCTGTGCACCCTGGGCAGGTGTCGAAAGCATCACGTCACTGCCTCAGGGCTGTGTCCCAGGAGCAGCCCCTGGGAGTCACGAGGCAAGTGGAGCCCACATCCCAAGGCCGGGGGAGGGGGCGAGGCGCCTCCCGCTGCCCAGATCCAGCTCACGGGTCAACGGGTGGTCACGTCATGTCCCCAGCAGCAGCCCGCGTGCACAGCCGTCAGACACCTGTTTCCCTCTCCGCCATGGTGACCTCAGCTCTGCCTCTCCCTGCACGGATTTGCACGTTCGCACACGGAACCACATGCTCTGCGGCCTCCTGAGAGGCTGAGTTCGCTGAGCCCCGGGCTCGCGATGAACACCCCCCCTTACAAAGCTCCTCGTGGAGATGCTTTCTGTGGCCCCGGCCTCTGTGGTTCCGGGGGGCTCGTTGTGGGTCCCCGCCACCCGCCTGGCGGTCTCTGCCCCTCTGTGCCCTGGCGTTGGGCCCAGGAGCACAGAGTGAGACAGGCGGTGGCCACCCCTCACGGGCACCAGGAGGACACGCACGCACAGCCGCCGTCCCTTAACTCGAGCTCCCTCCCGGCAAGAGACGTGGGGGCGCCTCACCTCGCCTGCAGCCCCCTGCCTCCCGGCAAGTTCCAGGGTCCCTTCCGGCTGGAAACTCATTTCCGGCGGGGAGCGCACCTGCCGGCCACGGACGCCTTATTTGAACACAACGATGACGGGTGCTGACATCGGATGCTGCGCCTGTGCTACTTTCCGGGGCTGCAGGTCTGCGTGCTCACAGCGCAGGTGACCCTCTGGGGGTCTGGGGCCGGGAGTGGGACTGCAGGAAGGCTCCCTCCTGGGCGTCCGGGGCTCACAGCCGTCCCCCTCCACCCCTGTCTCCACCTGGCCAGCTCCCGTCCTGTGCCCCCCTGTCCCAACCCCCCACCTCCTTTGTCTTTTACGACTGCCCGTCACAGGACATAGGGTCCACCCTACATCCAACACGATCTCATCTCAAGATCCTCAAATCAATTACATCTGCAAAGACTCAGTTTCCAGTAAGGTCACGTTCCCAGGTTCCCAGGGGTCGGATGTGGACACTGTTCAGCCACCATCCTGCTATGTGGCCCCAGGGTGGTTTATCGTTCTCCTTCAGTCATATGACCTCTGGGAGCCCTTCCAGCCAGGACACTGAGCTGTCCGACTTCCCCAGCCTTGTCCGGTGGAAACGCCCAATGTCACATCCAAATCCAGGTAGGCGCAGAGTGAAGATAAAAGAGGGATCAGGCTCCTCCCATCCCACGAAGACCAATATCACAGCCTCTGCACAGAACCAGCTCAGACCACCCCATCCCAGAACTCACCTGTGCCCCGGGCGCCTCCTGCCGTCCCAGGTGCCCAGGTGTCCAGGTGCCCAGGTGCCCAGGTGTCCAGGTGCCCAGGTGCCCAGGTGCCCAGGTGTCCAGGTGTCCAGATGTCCAGATGTCCAGGTGCCCAGGTGTCCAGGTGCCCAGGTGTCCAGGTGTCCCAGGCATCCAGGTGCCAGCGGGTGAACAGGCCGGGCACCGAGCTGCTGTGACGGTGGTCGGGCCACTGCTTATGCGCCCGCCGAGGAGAGCCGAGCGCCAGGCCCCTCCTGGACCTGCGGGACCAGCCACTGGCACGGCCCAGCCTGGGCACGGGACCTGAGGGCTGACGGGGCTGCCCGGCACGTCGGGAGTGGGGGCTCCCTGGCCTCCGCGCTGGAAGAGCCCCGTAGTCTGCACCGGAACGTGTCTGCACTCATGCGGCCGCCCCGGCCGAGACAGGCCAGCCTGGCCAGGTGCCCAGTTGGCCTTCCCCGGAGCAACCTCGGGCCCAGACGGGGGATGCACGTCGCCAGAGGTGGGGCCGGGGCCCTGACCACCACTCCGGTCACAGCAGGGGCTTGGCACCGTGCCATTCCGGGCGGGGGGGTGTCTGACCAGACCCCACCCGCTTCCTTCAAAAGAAAGATAAAGGGACTCCCAGGAAGGGCCGGGAGGAGGGCTGTGGTCCATCCATCCATGGTGAGGACACTGGAGGCTGGCTTTCCAGACCCTGGGGTCTTGCCCGGGTCCCCTCACCCTCTTCTCTCTCCCCTGCAGATGCTGTGGCTGCTGTTGCTGACCCTCCCCTGCCTGGGGGCGTCTGTGCCCAAACTCCCAGGTGAGTCTTAGCAGTGCTGTCCCAGCCCCGCCCCCGGTGGCCGACCCCCTGACCTATGTGAGGACGGCCCAGAGAGCACCTGGGGTGCTCCCCTGACCCTCGCACCCTGTTCCCCCAGCACCTGCCCCCGAGAGGGAGTTGGTGGGCATCGTGGGGGGCCACAGCTCCCCCAGGGCAAGTGGCCGTGGCAGGTGAGCCTGAGGGTCTACGTTTATCACTGGGCCTCCTGGGTGCACATCTGCGGGGGCTCCCTCATCCACCCCCAGTGGGTGCTGACCGCCGCCCACTGCATCTCCCGGTGAGTCACGCTGTGGACCCCCCCACCCCACTGGGTGAAGGGGCGGGGAGGCGGCAGAAGCAGAGACTGGGGCTCCCCGGGGTATGGACTCGGGGGCAGGGAACGGCCCTGACCGAGCGGGGCCTGGGGTCCGCCTCCTCCAGGAAAGACACCGACCCGTCAGCCTACCAGATCCACGCTGGGAACGTGTACCTGTACGGGGGTGAGGCGCTGGTCAACGTGAGCCGCGTCGGCGTCCACCCCGACTCCATCTCTGCCTTCCTGGGATTTGACCTGGCGCTGCTGAAGCTGGCCAGCCCCCCGAGGAAGCCGGCCACCCTGCCCCTGCAGCCCCTGGAGTTCAGGCCAGAGGGCGAGTGCTGGCTGTCGGGCTGGGGCAGGGGCTTCTACTTTGGTGAGAATGCTTGCAGTGGGGGCTGGAGGGGAGCAGACAAATTCCAGACCCTTCCTGCCGTCTGGGTCTGGGTCAGGCCGCGGTGGATGGTTCAGGAGTCAGGAATACACGGGGAAGAAGGGAGCCCCTTTCACAGCCACCCGTTTCCCAGGGCAGGCGGGCATGTGGCCGCATGGTTTTGTGTGAATGAACCGGACCCGACAGTCAGCCCGGTGCCTGGACCCAAACCTGCGCCTCTCAGCCCTCTCTCGAGGTTTGGGTCGGCAACAGAGGACCTGGGTGCCTGGCGCATCAGTGTCCTGGGGCCACAGCAAAGACCACCAACAGGGTGACTTAAAACGACAGAAAGGAGTTCTCCCACAGTCTGGGGGCCAGAGTCCGAAACTCTGTCGGCACGGATGGATCCTTCCAGAAGCCTCAGCAGGGGAGCCCTCCTTGCCTCCGCCCACTTCCAGTTTATCCTCAGCTGCGGCCACTTCCCTCTGGTCTCGTCCCCTGCCTCCTCTGGGTCTCAGGTCCCCCTGCCTGTCCTTGCGTGGGGACGCCAGCCGTTGGACTTGGGGCCCACCCTGCATCCAGTCTGACGCCATCTTAACGTGATTGCGTCTGCAAAGACTGTTTCCACATGAGGTCATATTCTGAAGGTCGGGGTGAGCATGAACTTTTTGGGGGACACTCTTCAACCCACTGTGTGTTTATGGAATCTGAGCCCATTCGTTACGGCAGGAGGAGCCCGCAGAGGTGGCCTGGGCTCACTCGCCCCAAGGACCCACGGGCAGCAGGCGAGGGCTGGCCGGGACAGGTGACGGGGCCCTGGGCACGCAGTCTGGGCTCCTCCCTGAGCGCCCAGCACTGGTGATGTGGGCGGTGGCAGCGTCAAGTGGTCTATGGCACAGGGTGGGGGGGGACAGGCCCCTCCTCCTCCTGACCCTCCATTCTGTCCCAGACCCGCTGCACCCCCCCCACCGCCTGCAGCACGTGCAAATCCCCCTGGAAGAGGAGGGGGCCTGCGAGCAGAGTTACAGAAGGTTCCTGCACACCAGAGCCAACAGGCGGGCCATCCCGGGGGACGTGCTGTGTGCCGGGACCCTGGGCCGTGGCCCCTGCATGGTGAGGCGCCCGGCCGGCCCAGCGCAGCTCTCCACCTGACCTCGCCCCAGCCGCCTGTGACCTGTGACTGCCCCCTCTCCCCACAGGGGGATTCCGGGGGCCCCCTGGTGTGCAAGAAGAAAGGGACCTGGGTCCAGGTGGGCGTGGTCAGCTGGGGCACCGGCTACTCCATGTTCGAGCTGCCTGCCGTCTTCACAAACGTGCAGAGCCACGTGGACTGGATCCGGCAGCAGCTGCGGAGGCGCCGGTGACCCCCAGCCGCGGCCAGGCTGCAGGGCAGCGGGGGACGGCGCCTCCCCCGCCACACCCCACCCCAGAGCCCCGCGGACGTCCCTCCCCTCCCTGCGCTCCGGCCCCTGTCCTGCCCCTCCCGCCGCGCCACCCTGCCCGCCATGGGGACGTGCAGGGCGGAGGCCCCCATGGGCTGGGGTGCTTGTCTCATTAAACTGTCTCGGTAAAGAGGCTGGTGGTCCGAGTGGTCTTTGAGGCAGGTGCAGCTGCAGAGCGGGCCGGCCTGCCTCTCTTGCTTGGGATCCCAGAGTGCTGGGGAGGGGGCTCGGGGAGGTGGAGGCTGGGGTCGGACGCTCCCCGTAATCCCGGGCCGCCATCGCCTACCCCGTCCAGGCTGTAGCGCACTCGGTCACTAAAGGAGGCTGTTTGCAAGTTTGCAGGCAGCAGACTCACCCTTGGGATTTCATTCACTCATCGAACGGATGTCGGTGGGCGCAGGGCAGTCGGCTCTGCCTTCCTCCATCCCGGGGTCTGGAGGGGAGGTAGATGTGCAGCAAGGGTTTGAAATGCAGCAAGGACGGCCATGTGGCCCCATAAACACGTCCGGTGGTGACGGACTTGGGGACACAATAGCGTGCGAGGGGGGTGGGACCAGAGTGGAGATGCTCGCGCTCGCCAAGGGTGAAACAGTGGCAAGAAAAAGAGCAGACTTGTAACGAGCTCGGTCCAAGGCAGGAGACGGGGGGCTGGGGGGGAATGAAGAGCTCCCTGTTGAGGCAGAAAGTGGCTCAAGGACAAAAGCCCCCCCCCCCCAGTGTCTCCCCAGCCTGGGTCTGCCTGGGTTCGTCCCTGGGAACCCGGTTTAAAACACAAAGTAAGACACAGAGAAAACGATTCTCTGCGTCCAGCGAGTCTCCAAATGCTTGCAACCAGCCAGGGGGTGAGCCTGCTGGGTTCCCGACGGTGTGCGGGCGTGGCCGCCTCCCTCCTGCCCGCCACACCGTGGAAAGCGTCACGTTTAGGAAGACGACACTCACAGCGGCCACGGTCCCGAAGGGCAACGGGGAGAAGTGTAGTGGGGGTGGGGGAGGTCTTCACATGAGGAGTTAGAGTGTGTAACACAGGTCGTAAGAGGCGGCCCGGTAATGAGAGGGAACGTCGGACGTGCAGGGATGAGGAAAACCCTCAGGGACCGGCGAGAACCCCCCCAATTCTCCCCCGTGTCATCAGGGGTTCCACGGAGGTCAAGAGCTGGACCTGAGGCCTGGAGAGGGCACATGGCCATGACCCAGACATGTGAAGAGGAAGACCCGGAGGGGCTGTTAAAAAGCTGAAATAACGGGAACGGGGGTGGACACAGGGAACGGGCACGCGCCTGACCCGGCACCCGGAGGGTTGTGCGTCCGTGGGAGGCGGCCCCGCGGCTGGAGGCCACGGGACCTCGAACGTGTGCTGCTGCCGGGGTGCGTGGCCCCCCCTGTTCCACATATGAGGGAGCCTCCCGGATCCCTGAGCCGGCCCCCCTCCCCAGAGGTCCATGGCCATGTGCAGCCACCTCCGGACACCAAGTGCTGCCAGGGGCCAGGGGGGAGCTCCACCCCGGCCCCGCCTGCGTTCTGGCTCACGCGGGTTACTGAGTACACACGCTGTACAAACTCAGCCAGTGCAGCCAACTTTGAGCACAAGGTATCTACAGACAGGCTTTGTCTTTTTTCTCTTTTAATTACCAAGTATTGCTTTAAATCCCAGATCGAACCCTCACTCCACCTCATCAGCTGGTTAAGCCTCAGTGTCTTGGGCTGGGAAATGGGGACAGGAGCTGTGTCTTTGCTGTGGTTCAGTGAGTTGGTGGATGGGAGGAGTCTGAATAGATGGAAGACCTGGACAAGTCAGATAATGGGTGGGCGGAGGGGGGATGGGTGGGCGGAGGGAGGGGGAGGGGCGGAGGGAGGGGGAGGGGCGGAGGGAGGGGGAGGGAGGGATGGACAGATCACAGATGCTCAGTTGGAGTGTCACGTTGGACTCAGCCCCCCCGACTGAGTGTGTTTGTTGATAATTAACTGGGACAAAACCCATCATTCTTCTCCCAGCAAATAACTGGAAACCACTGTAAATGTCTGTCCATGGAGAACTGATTAAGTAAGTTACCCTAGATCCACACAATCGAATACAGCGTGTCGTTAGAAGTGATGCCCGTGAGCAGATGGCTGGGGGTCACGGGCATCGTGGCGTGGCCCCTCCTGCCAACACGGCCCTGTGTGTGGGAGTGACTGTGGGCGGCCACAGTGGCTACTGCCAGCAGGGGATTATCGAGAATTTCTTTTTTTTTTTTTAATATTTTTATTTATTTCTAGGAGAGAGAGAGACAGCGTGAGGAGGGGAGGGTCAGAGAGAGAGGGAGTCACAGACTGAAACAGGCTCCAGGCTCTGAGCTGGCAGTCAGCACAGAGCCCGACGCGGGGCTTGAACCCACGAACCGCGAGGTCATGACCTAAGCGAAAGTCGGACGCTTAACCGACTAAGCCACCCAGGCGCCCCAAGAATTTCTATTTTCTAATTCCTTTTTGTGGTCTGAGTCTTTTACATTGTTTTCATAATTTAAAAAAAAAAAAGTTACTCTGGTTGGAGGAAAATGAAGTTTCCTTGCTCACCAGCAGCCTGGCTCGCCGGCAGGGCCTGGAAGACACGGGGTGCTGAGGGCCCCCCTCCCCTGCCCCCCAGCTTCCCTCTGGGACACCGGAGCCTTCTGCCCAACGAAGGGCTTTTGCAACTGGCCTGGGCAGCCACATCCTTGACCTATAACAGTAACCCTGAACCGGGCATCTCGGCCACAGTCCTGGACTTGACTCTCCGGCCTCATCCTGACTGTTACGTGGCCCCCGGCCGCACAGCCCCCAGCCCTGCTCCGATCCCATCGGTGGGGGTCGGGTCCCGACCCTGTCAGCGCAGCCAGGGGGCCTGCCCCACGCCGGCTGCTTCGCAGCTGAAGCCAAGACGGCCTGGAGTGAGGGGCTGGGGCCGCTGTCCTCGAGATACGGGGCCCGGTCCTCGTGACCGGCTCAGAAAGCCGCACGCTTGAGCTCACTGGCGCCCCTGGGTCCCTCCTCGTGCTGAGGTGGCTGTCCCCGGGGCGGGCACCGGGCCGGTGCGGGAGGGGCGAGGCGGGCAGCTCTGTCCTCTCCGGGGGGGGCTCTAGCGGGGAGGTGCCCCCCCCCCCCCAGGACTCTCTTCCAGGCCATCTTCCCCGCAGGGACCCACGTTCTCCGGCCTCCCTTCCCAGATGCTGGAGGCCATGCTTTCTCTTACGGGCTGTGGGCGTCCGGCCTCGCGGACTGGGCCGCTTGCGCTCCTGTCTGCCACTGCCCATCCCCCACTCACGCTCTGCTGTGCTTAGCGTGGGGCTCCCCCAGACCGCGGGCTCAGGGTTCTGCACCCCGGCACGCCTCCTGGGGCCCCCTGGGGTCCCTGTGGCCTGGACGGGCAGGGCTGGGCCGGGCCATCTGGCTCAGGGTCCTTACTGAGGACCTCTGTCCTGTCCCCACTTGGAGGTGGCTCCAGGTCAAGGTGTGCCGGCCCCCCGGTCACTCCCCCAGGTTCGTGGGGCATGGTGGCCCCGAGCCACTCTGAGTCACTGTCACCGTTGACCTCAGAGATGCTCTGAGCTTGGACCTTGGGGGGTGGGGGGCTCTGACGAGGGCTCAGGACGGTGAGACACGCTCCCGACAAGGAATAGGGCAGGGCAGGTGGAGGCGGGTTTGTCCACCCAGGACGGGGGCACCAGGCTGGAGGCGGGGGCAGGGGCCCTGTCCCCCCGTGCGGGGGCCCCCCCACGGCCCTGGAGGAAGCTCTACCTGCCCTGACGGCCAGGCCAGCGCGGGGGAAGAGACGTGTCTGCACGGGCCGAAAGCGGGGCCGGGTGGGTGGAGAACACGGTGGGCTCGGGGGCCTCTGGTGCTCAGATGAGGAGGCGGCGGAGTCAGCTGGGGGGGCAGTGCAGGGCCCCCGTCTCCCGGGTGTGTGATGGGGAATCGCCCCCCCCCCCCGCTGATGCTCTGTGGCCCCTCCTGGAGGAACAAAGGCCTCCCTCCTTCCGGAGGTGCCCGAAGTAGGAACGGTGGCTGGGGCGGGGGTGTCCTGGGATCTGGGAGCCGGCCCACCCGGGGAGAGGAGGCCTGCCTAGTGTGTCGCCAGGTGCCCGAGGCCTAGGGGCCTGTGCTCAGCGCTGGGGGTGAGGAGGGGTGCCCGCCTGGCCTCCGGGGGTGTGGGAGGCTGCCCTGGGGCGCGGGCGCGTCGGTGAGCACCCTCATGGCGGCCCTGCTGTGTGGAGACAGTGGCGAGGCAGCCCGTCCACGTGGCTCAGGGTGGCTGAGTCTCGGGGGGGTGGGGGGGCGGCGCACCCAGGCGGCAGCCCCCACTGGGCTCAGCCTGACACCCAACTGCCTTTTTTCCCCTGTCCCCCTCTCCCAGTGGAGGGCTGAGCAAGCCTCTGGCCCACTTCCTGTGGCCAAAAGATAAACAGACTCGGGGGACGCCCAGAGCAGAGACCCACGGAGCCTATCAAGGCAGGGGCGCTGTCCCCTCCCAGGCAGCTGCGGAGGCTCCTGGCCCTCCGACCCCAAGCTGTCCCTCTGTGTTCCCCCCTCTTGCAGATGCTGTGGCTGTTGCTTTCGATCCTCTTCTTCTCGGGGACCTGCTTCGCCGGGACCCCAGGTGAGTCCTGAGCCCCTGGAAGCGCCCCCTTCCCAGAGGCTCCCACAACCTCATCTCTAGTCCCAGTCCCTGGGGGCTCGGGGCTGCCCGGCCGGCCGTGCACCTGGGGAAGGTCTATGTGGGGACCCCGAAGCCCGGCCTCCCTCCCCCCATGTTGCTCTCCGGCCTCCACCCCTGAGAACGAGCTCGTGGGCATCATCGGGGGCCACAGCCCCCCCCCCCCCCCGGGCAGGTGGCCGTGGCAGGTGAGCCTGAGGCTCTACGTTTATCACTGGGCCTCCTGGGCGCACATCTGCGGGGGCTCCCTCAT